CGAAGCCGGGAATCAAACCCGAATTCAAATCAAATCCTTTCCATAATCCACTTCCTTTTCCTCATTGATTACTTAGATTATGGTTTTCCTTTCTTTTCAATGTCAACACATTTAGGCGCCAAAAATTTTTTTGAACTCTTTTTGCTAACGGAGTTCTTTCCATTTCATCTTTCGTGTATTCTTTTCAAACAAAGCCGGTTCTTTCAGCCAGTTCCCCATTTAGCACTAATGTTAGTACTAGGGTGTGGCTGTTTTCTTTTATATTATCATTTCTCAGTAATTTTCTGAAATCATCATCATTTTTGAAAGGAATTCTGATCGATTTGCAATGTGATTCCTTGCTTTAATCTTGTTTTAATAAAGTGAAGTTAAAGTTCTCTGTGATCTCTTGCTTTAATCTTGCTCTAATCTTGCTTTAATCAATTCCTAACCAAGCTCATTACTTCTCAAGCAAAAACATTCTATTTTTAGTGAAAAACATGAGGAAATTATGTTCTATTGTTAAGTGTAAACAGAAAATATATGATTTTAGAAAATCCTATAGTTAAATAACGTATTTTGTCTCACAATTTGTTTAAAGTTACCATTTGGGCTTAGTTCTACTTTAAAGTAAAGTTAAAGTTAAAACTTTAAAGCTTTACTACCGACGAAATACTTTAAAATCATTCTTTTCAAATACAAATCTTATTTTTACATGCAAATTTTTAATCCAGTCAATCTGGATCTAATTTACTCAAGTAGATTTGTACTTTGAAGTACATTTTGGACTTTTTGAGCTTAAAAAAAAGAAACACAGCTTTCCTGGGGCATTTGATTCTTTATTTGATTCTTTATTTGATTCAAGGGCATTCTCTGTACTTACGTATGTTTATGAATAGAGATTTGAGATTTGTTGATACGGTAGAAATCGAAAACTGAATATCTAATGATATCTAACGATCAGTCAAAGTTTATTTGTCAATCTGAAAGTGTGTCAAGCATCCTAGAATCCTAGAGTAGATCCTGGAGTAGATCCTTCTAGAATCCTAGAAGGATCTACTCCATTTGCCCGTCAAAAAGGAACATACTTCTTATGGATCTTCCTATCAGCATTCAAGCTTTGCTCTAGGTGCGTCAGGAACAATATATTTCTATTTCTAAGCACAAAGTACACATTATCCAAGAGCAAAATAATATCCAAAGCTAAAAGCACCAACTCTAGTTACTTTTAGTTCAAAAAAATAGAAACAAATCTTTTCTGGCACACTTGACTCTTCATTTTTTATACCACTTTAGTCTGATGTAGATAACTGAAGCATTTAGTGCACTAGAACAGCTATGTTTCCATTTCTAAGTACAAAGTACACCTCTATGAGCGCTAATTGAGGTCAGTTCCCTTTTGGTGCCAGCCTACTCGTTTCCCTTTCCTTTCCTTTTTCTCTAGCTGTTATCGGATATTCTGACCTGTTAGTCGACCACTGAATCCCCAAAGAAGCATTTATATCTTTTAAATTTTATTTTTCTTTGAAATAGACTTCATATTCCTCTTCATGCACTCAAAATTCTTTCAAAATTCTTTCAAAATGACTTTTTTTGAATACTTCCTGAGTGGGTAAATCATCGGGGTATTCCCAGTGATTATTTCGTAGATTTCTTAGATGATCGCCTACGCATAAAGCATCGAATTTGGCAACAATTAAGCAAATTATAGGAAACAAGTCTTTCAGTTTTCAGTTTGAGGCAAAAATTTCGAATAAACTAAAGCTTTAATTACAGATGAAAATAGCTAAAGTTGTCTGTATTTATTTATAAATTTTTTTCGGCCCAAAATGATGCGGCTTTAATGGCTTTAAAGCTTTAAGGCTTTAAAGCTTTAAGGCTATAAAGCTTTAAGGCTTTAAAGCTTTATAGCTTTAGGGGTTTAAAGCTTTAAGGCTTTAAAGGCTTTAATGAACTTCAAAGTTCAAAAGCGTAAGTATTCGTTAGTCATACATAATTTGCCTTTTTGCATGCCTTATGATTCTGCACAAAGAATGGTCTTAGAGGTAGGGCCTTGGCTATTTAAATCATTAAAAAGGTTAATTGTCTCTCTGCAAAACGAATTGAACCAGGGAGCTTTTGTATCCAGGTCCGGTTTCGGAAACTGGTGGGAAGTTAAAACAGTTCTAGTAAGATACAGGGCTTTCAATCAGTCGGTCATGACCATGAGTCGAACGGATTAGGAATCTGGAGCTATCTATTTGTAGAACTGAGGTTTATCTCATATAGTATCGTGTAGAAGCTAGGTAAGTAATTGCTTTGAAAAGTGGATGGCTGTGGGAGTTGTTGTTAGGATAGAGCTTGGGCGCGTACCCGCATACAGGGCGCACCCTTCTCTTTCTCTTGTCTTGCATCCCCTTTGCCACTCACCTAACCCCCTCTCAGGTCCTTTCTTTCACCTCCACCTACTCCCCATCCACACCCACACACGCACAGAACAACAATCCTCCTCTTCTTCTCTTCCTTTCCCCATTTTCCTTTCTTTTCCCATCCAATGATCCTCCCTTTTTCCTTTCCCCCTTCTCACTCTTCTCATTCCTTTCAAAATCAAGGAAGGATTCAAATTTCCTAGCTTTCATCCAGTTTTTCTTGGAATCTATAAACCTAAACCACTCAGGGATCCAGATTTATAAGCTTCATTGCTTATAATCAGATTCATTGCCTTCAGCTTCAGCGATATTCAGCTTATAGCTTATATTCATTGTATTGTGTTACCAGCCACAACAATAACATCAGATTTTTAATCGTCCAGTTCGGATCCATTTTCAATTTCAAAGTTCAACTGATTCAGCACTGAATCCCCGTTGACTCATCCCTTTTCCAGAAAAATCTGCCCTTCATTGCCTTTCAAAAAAAACTAGAAAAAAAAGAAATTGAATCAAAAATATCGCATCATCTATTGCTCAAAATTTTCCTGACCAAAATCAAATGGTTCTATTTGTTTATTTGCTTAGCCTGCACCTCGTAACCGATAGGCATCGGCGAAATTAAAGGTTAGACCAGCTGGCTAGCCGGGGAAGGCTTTGGATCTCTTTGTCTAACAATATCTGTAGTGTAGATGATTGAGATATAGATCTAATTGCTAATTCTAAGATCTAAAGCTTTCATAGTAGTTAGACGTCGTTAAACTAAACAAGTTGAAGAACTTGTTGAAGACAGCAACGATCCATGTCCAGAATTCGGCCTAGGTTTTAGATTTTAGCCGGATTAGCACTAGATCACTTTAGATTTCCCTTCCCATACAAATTTGCCTAGCTCTTGTATGGAAATTTTGTGAATGGATGGATCGTTGCTAGCTTGAGTTTTCGTAGTTCTGTAGCTGACTACTAAAATTGGGTTTTCCAAGTTTTTGGGACTAAAATTTTGTATCGAGGATTACTTAGGCTTACCTGTAAACGATTTTCTGCATCTTAGCAACCGGCTTTTCTTTTCTAAAACGTGAAAATCTATTTTAGCTTTAGAAAAAGAAAGGCAGAAGCTTTAGAAAATAAAAACGCTTTGCTGAAATATAGAAAGTATAATAGCATAGATAACAAAGCAAATTTAAATAAATTTCTTTTCAAAAAGAATTTTGAATCTAAATTTTGGATCTGAATATTGTATCATTTCTTTCTCAGCTTCTAGATCTTTTCCAACTAAACTTTTGGTATCAAAAAAGACTAGATTTCAAGAGCTATCGTTTGACACCCAAGCGAACTCTATAGCTTAACCCAGTGCGGAGAACGGGATGTTTAAAGTTAGACTACGCGATCGTACGCCCGTCATTATCTGGGTGGCGTTAGAGCTCTGTAGCTCGGTAGCTCTTGTATGCAAATTTTGCGAATCGATGGATCGTTTGCTTGTTGCTGTCGTTGCTATCTTGAGTGGCCGATCGGTTGCACTCAAGTTGAAACAAGGATTGAGTTTCATCCAAAAAGAATCCAAAACAAATCGAATTTTGATTTTCAAGAAGTCAAAAAAGACTTTTCGATATGTTTTTTTCTTTTCTTTTCTTTCCTCTGGACTTTGACTCAAATTCGCAATTTTTGAGGCGATTTTCCCCTCTTTTTCCGAGATCAGCTCAACTTTTTTGCCTTCTTTCGTATTTCCAATCTTTTCCCCCTTCTTTCTCATCTCACTTTTCTCTCTTCAGCTGACCGGTCTGCCTATTTGCATTTTGGTGGAGTCGTGGCGCGAAATTCGACTATTTCTCGCCCGATTTTCTCCTTTCTTCCTTTCTTTTTCTTCGTTGCGCTTATGAGTGCTGATTGTTGACCAATTGTTCCAATATTTTACGAACTTTACATAGAAGAGAATGGCTTGAGATAGCGAGAATGGGGAATTGGTTAATATTGGTTATGATTGCTTATGATTGGCTAATACAACTAAAAGAATTGAAATGCAATCATCGAACAAAACGTTTCTTGTGCTCTTGTACTTTTTCGATTTGCAAATCATTTGTTTATTAAAACTTTTGACATAAAGATTGATAACTTTAGATCTAAAAATAGATTGTGAAACGGAGCTACTTGTAAGAAACGGTGCTACTCTAAAAGAAAATCTAAAAGAATAAAAGAAATCCAATTCAAGTGTATTGATTAACCTTGAAATCCCCTTTTCTACATAGTAATGTGTGGGTTTTCCGGTCTAAATTCGCAAATCTCCGGAAATCTCCGGCTGTTGTGGTTGAGGAGTACTTTCTTTCCCAGAGATTCGGTGTTGAGGTTGTGGTGGTTGAGGAGTACTCTCTTTCCCAGGTGCACCCACCTCATTTTCTGAGAATCTTTTCAAGAAACCACTATTGTAAAAGCAATCTCCTCAATTATTTCTTTTCTTTGGAAACATAAACGATCTCAATTTTTGTCCGTTTGATTTCCAAGCCTTGTTACCACTTCACTCACTTTGAATCAACTCAATTCAACCAATAAACTAAAAGATCAATAAATTTCTTTACTTTTCACATAGTTAAACTACAAATTTGTATTTTTACTTCAAAATTTCAGTCTCCGACGGACGATGAACCCACGTCGGGACTCTCAGCGCAGAACCGAGCACGCTCTCCAAGTGTGGGTTCTCGAGGCAAAGGGAATTCCAGCAAAGCGCAGGTTTCTTTCATATCTTAGCCTGTCAAGTGAACCATTTATCTTTTATCAAATTATTTATCAACTTTTTCTCCAGATACTTCTGTGAACTATGCTTGGACAAGGTGCTCTATGCTCGAACATCCGCAAAGCCGTTGAGCGGGATCTGCTTTTGGGGACAGCACTTTGATTTTAAGTTGGTTTTCTAGAGTTAATTCTAAACTTTCAAATAGTTTGTAGTTCTATTATTCAAATAAACTGCTCTATTATTCAAATAAATGTTCAATTACAATAGTTAAGTCACGAATCTAGCTAGGGAAAGGCACAAACTCAAGGTGAGCTTTTGTCTGGTCACTTAGTGCACTTTATAAAACTGAGGAATCCTAATTTAGGCTATTAACGTACCATTTTTCCGTTAGGAATAAGCCTTTTAAAGCATCCATTTTGATGCCAAATTCTTGATTGAAGTTTTACACGCCTGAAAAGTCATTTAACAGATTTTGATTTCAGATTCGGATTCCTCATACCCAATTCTATAAAGCGCACTAGGTGTCAGACAAAAGACAAAAGCTCATCTTTGAAAGAAAGAGAGAGCTCTCCCTAGTAAGGAAGAGCTTTCCCTAGTAAGGAAGAGCTTTCCCTAACAAGAAAGAGCTTTCCCTAGTAAGAAAGAGCTTTCCCTAACAAGAAAGAGCTTTCCCTAACAAGAAAGAGCTTTCCCTAACAAGAAAGAGCTTTCCCTAACAAGAAAGAGCTTTCCCTAACAAGAAAGAGCTTTCCCTAGTAAGAAAGAGCTTCTCATACAAATCCGGCAGCTTCACTAGGATCTCTATCAGTAGGATTAAAGATCAGTAGGATCTCTATCAGTCGGTTTAGTGATCAGTAGGATCTCTAAGGAGTGTAGACTTTAAAAAATGATACAAATAATCATTTCAGTATGTTGCCTAAAGTCGAAAACGTTTGCATTAATCTTTACCGAGAGGCGGATCCGAAGAAGAAAAAGGATCGTTGCACGTTGATCGGCTACGTGAATATTCGCACCGATGATGTCGCCTCGAGACATCCATTGGAACGATGGTGAGATTATGAGATGAAAATGATGAAGAAATGAAAGCAGCTTCATTTGCAGCTATAGTGTTAATTTTAAATCAATGCTTAATCAAACTTGATCCTGATATCTTTGAAGAAGTGATGTAGGCAGCAATAGGTAGCAATAGGCTGGATAGAGTTTTTGCACTCCTAATTAAACCTCGATAGCGCTTTGTTCTCCCAGTATCTTTCCATTTACCTCAAATAGTTCTCAAATCGATTATCAAGTGGAACTCGTTTCTTCTTTGAAATTTTTCTTCACTCAATCCTTTTAGCGAGTCTAGGTTCACAGTTGGAAGTCGTGGATCATCTTGACTTTTGGCTTAGCGCTTGACTTTTGGGGTTTAGTTGCAGGAAGAAAAAAAGAAAGAAAGAAAGAAAGAAAAAAAGAAAGAAAGATATCTTTCGATTTTCGAACAAACTTTTACTTATTTATAATGAATTTGAAAATATCGCTCAACTCCAACGATACTTCAATAGAGAAATTTGCCTTCAACAGTCCAACAAACTAGCTTTCTACAGCCAATGTAGCTTTCTACAGCCAATGTAGAAATAGAAGTTGATAAATCTAGAATTGAGTTGTGCAAAGCAATAGTGGTAAGATATAAAATCACTAAATTAGTTTGTTTTGGTGATTCGGGAGATTACAACTGAATAGTTTCACGTTGAGTTCTCAGCTAAATTATAAATTTTGCACTTTGCATAAAAGTAGGCTGTTTTAAGTTGCTTGCATGGTGTATTTTGTGCTAAATCTGTAAACGCACCCTCTCTGGCAGACCCAACTCATTATTTTTCTTACGACAAGCTTTCACTAGCTTTATAATAATGTAAATTGACGACTGAATTGTAAACACCAAGGTATTTAAGGCCAAAGTCAGATTGCCAATGGCGAAGGGGTGGGGCTTCCTTTTATACGCGCCCCGCCCCCTTTTGCCATTGGCAATCGAACTTTGAACTTAAATATCTTGGTGTTCGGCTGTCCAATTTCAAGAGATTTTGTACCAATCGATAGAGAAAGACTTGGCGCATCTAATGATACCAAGAATATTATAATTGAAAGACCCAACACCAAGAAATTTGAGCTAAAAGTTGGATTGCCAATGGCAAAAGGAGGCAGGGCTCGTATCAAATGTATATAAGCCGCATATCAAATGTGTATGTAAGGGCGTAGCCTAATATAAGCTAGGTTAGGCCAGGAAATCAAAAGCCAGCCAAAAGAAGCGGAGTTGGGGGACCTTTTATACGCGCCCCGCCCCTTTTGCCATTGGCAATCGAACTTTGAGCTTGAATATCTTGGTGTTGGACTGTCCAATTTCAATAGTTTTTGTACCAATCGTCAGCTTTCACTAGCTTTATAACAGTGTAAATTGACGACTAGGGTAATTAAACCGAGCACCCAGCTCAAGGCACATTATGCCAGAAGGCGTGTGTTTACAGGAAGCCACAAAGTCAGAAGGTCACAAATTCACAGAGTCAGGGCCACTCAGAAAGTCAGGGCCACTAAGAAAAGATCTCAATGCCGACCGGTTTAGATTCTAAATTCTAATTCTTCTGATTCTAATGCAGTCAAATAGACTGTAGACTCGAATTCTCAGGATCAAAGTTTACTAAAATATCAGTGTGTTGCTCAAAATCGTGTACCCTACTCAATAACCTGATCCTTAGCTTCCTGAGGGTAATTCGAAACCCGTTACCCTAGTTATTTCACAGTGGGGTAGCTCATCGATCCTTTTCATCCTTTCCTTTATCTCCTCCACTTCAACAAATCCACAAAAGGGTTTATTCTTGCAAACCCTTTTGTGGAACTTTTTCCGAGCACACCTGTGGGTGACCAGAAAGAAGAAAATAGTGGGCGAATCTGGTGAAAATAGAGAAATTTTCGGGTTGAAAAAGGGGGTGGTAACAGTTTATTTCTTCTCTCAAAAGAAGAGATTGCTTTCAGAAACCTTTCAAAAAAATTTCCCTTTTTCAAAAGGAAATCGAGATATTTAGAAATGGGAGAACTCATTTTTGACGATCACTTCCTTCCACGGTTTTCCCATTTTTCGTGTTAGTCGTTAAGTGATCGATTTGCATGTAAAATTGCCTGATTTGAAGAAAGTTTAGGAGCTAACTGAGCTAACTGTTGGGCTTTTTATTTACAGCACTTTTTTTAGTTGTATTCAGATTCCGAATTCTTTTATAATAAGTTTGAAGAAGTTAGTTTTTAAATAAAAATTTTTTAATAGAAAGTTTTAAAATAGATTTAAATAGTTGCAATTTACTTTTCAACCTTTCTTTATTTACTTCTTTACTTTAACTACTACTTTAACTTTAACTACTCTTTACTTTAACTATTTACTTTTTATAAGTCTTTTAATATTAGAAGAAGTGAGTTTTTCTATGATTAGAAGCTTGGTTTGTTCTCAGGATTTTGATAGACATTTCAAGCCAATCTCTTACCAGAAGGATGTTCAAATATTCAAATATTATTGTAGTTTTGGTTAGTAAAACGCTAATAGTAAAGTACTTCCTACTAGAATTCAAAGAGCTCAAAAATATGCAAAAGATTTGGCCAGCTAGAATTCCATTCCAATTTGATGATTTTCCAGTTCCCATTTCTTTCCCAGGCCTTATCTAATCAAAAATATCTTATTAACAGTAAATTGGTACTAGAACAGTTAGCATAATAGACGTCTTGAGACTTCTAGTGTTAAGAATTAGATCGTCTTGAGTCTGGCACGAGATTCAACCAGTACCAGGCCAGCATTAGCAGCCAGAGTTGGACGTTTTAAGTCATTCTTGGGACTGGAAATACAAAACCACTTCATGAACCCATTTTCCAGTTCCCATTTCTTTCCCAGGCCTTATCCAATCAAAAATATCTTATTAACAGTAAATTAGTACTAGAACAGTTAGCTTATAGACGCTTAATCTATTATAGACGTCTTGAGACTTCTAGTATTAAGAATTAGATTGTCTTGAGTCTAGCACGAGATTCAACCAGTACCAGGCCAGCATTAGCAGCCAGAGTTGGACGTTTTAAGTCATTCTTGGGACTGGAAATACAAAACATGGTCGACACTGGGATTCGAACCCGCTTACCCCGCTTGGAACTCTCACTTACCACACGAACACTCTACCAATGAGCTACATTGACACGTATCCCATTGCTGCCAACGTATGCCTTACTCTAGACTTGAATCAGACTTGCAAATGCAAAATTTGCAAAATTGAATACATTTATCAGGTATTAAATCGTATGGAAGAGTACGGGGATCTATTTAGAATATTGCAATACTATAGAACTTTTTGATGTTTACTGTTTGATGTTCAAAATGTTTACTGAAATTTGATTAGGAAATTTGGAGTACAAAATTTGGAAATGATTAGGAAATTTGATTAGGCATCTCATACTTTTGGCCAGCTAGGATTCAAAAATGCTCCTATTTTGTTCCTACTTTGTTCCGACTTTGTTCCTATTCTTTCCCCCAGGCTAGGTCCTTATCTAATCAAAAAGAACTTTCTTGCTAACAGTTTTGATGTGTAAGTTTTACTCCCAAATGAATCATTGTTTCTATTTTGTTTCTATTTTGACCTTGGTGATGCTGAAAAAGCTCAAATTAGGTCAGAGTTTCCAAAGACTTTCTTTTTTTCCGTTTCCACTTTTTTGCAAATGTGATCGATCACAAGTGACAAGCAGATGTTAGATAAATTTCGGAAAAACCATTTTTCAACTGGTGATAGTTGATTTAATTTAACGTTTTGCATTATATTTTGAGCTCAAAGCTCAAAGCTGGAAACGCATCCTTTCTGGTGTACAAAAATCGAATTTGAGTGCGCTAGAAAGGGTGCATTTATAGTGTTTTGAATGCAAAGTACGTAGTTCTTCTTTCATTTGTTCCTCCAACGATGGTTTGAGCATTCTTTTTTACTTATCGCTTTCATTGCTTGATCAATTCTTTTCAGCAATGATAGCCTCACACGATGATTTGAGCATTCTGAGTTTTGAGGACCCAAAAATCCTTCGACACTCATTTTATGACTCAATTCTTTCATTCACAAAATGCACGGCCCCATTTTTGGGGAAATTGAAATCAAAAGAAAAGCCCCAGTTGGCGCCTTTGTTTGGGACTCATGGACGGTTGGTTTTTGGAGGGTATTCGGGTTAAGATATCAAATATTTATCATATAAAAGGAATATTTTGAGTTATAATTATTATTATAAAAAGCCAAAAGACTCAACAAGTCTTTTGACTTGAGCTTGAGCTTGAGTCTTTTGGCTTGAGCTTGGGCTTGAGTCCTTTGACTTGAGCTTGAGCTTGAGTCTTTTGGCTTGAGCTTGAGCTTGAGTCCTTTGACTTGAGCTTGAGCTTGAGTCCTTTGACTTGAGCTTGAGCTTGAGTCCTTTGACTTGAGCTTGAGCTTGAGTCTTTTGACTTGAGCTTGGGCTTGGGTCTTTTGGCTTGATGTAATACCAGCCAAGAAACCCTCCCAACGGCTGTTTAGCTGTTTTGGGGCTTTTGTTGCCGTGAAGCAGTGGAGAGCGCGCCGGTCTATCGCCCATACGATCCGGGCTCCCCGTGTGACCTCCCCGTGTGACTCGAATTGTGCTTTTTAAAAATCCAAAAGCACATTGCACAACTACATGTAATTCCCTATTCAACGGCGCAAAAATCATTGCAAACGGTTCTCTGGGAGATGAGGAGGAGCGCACAGACAGACAGACGGACAAACAGACAGACGGACAGACAGACAGACGGAAAGACAGACAGACAGACGGACAGACAGATGGACAGACGGACAGGCAGACAGATGGACAGACGGACAAACAGACCTCTTAATCCCTTTATATAGTAGATAATTGAAGATATTACCTTTTTTAGCCTACTAATCTTCAAGGTGCACCTTGTATTATAACTTTTTAATGCAACCATTCATTTCAATCTAGTAACAGCTTCTCAAGCAATTATCATTTCTTCAAATTGAAAGCAGGAAATAAATCTCTTGCAGCAGGAGAGAAATTAGGAGAGAAATTGTCTTGGTGATAGTCGTGAAAAAGAGTGAAGGTCGAATTCATTGAGAACGGATGAAATGACCTCGTAAATCTTAAAGAAAACAATTGAAAAAGGAGTCAAAGTGGAAAATTTAGAGAGAAAATAAAGGAGTGAACAGTGGAGAAAACGTTATTTGCGAATGAGTGGAGTGTTTTTGTTTGCAAATAACCTCAAAGGCTCTGCAACTATAAGTTCTAAGTTCTACTCAAAGTTATAAGTTCTTTAACAGATTATGCAATAGTTCAAAAGTATCAGGATCAAAGTTTGAGATTCTAGAGATCTTAAAAAGCACTCGTTCAAGTTATACTCGATTTTAGGTACACTGTCACTTCGGCTACAGAGGGATCGACGAAGAGCAAGAGCTCTCGCGATGAGCAGCCAGCGATCCGAATCAAAGCCAGATGGCAACAGGTAAACTTTCAAACTGGTAACTCACAATCAGAGATTTGCATAGGATTTTTAAATTAAGTTAAACAGCTGAGCTACAACCCATTATTCAGGTGGAGATCCTCCCACTCCATGCCTACGATGAGCTCCTCAACTTCCTCATGTACAAGAAGAACTATCTGCCCTTATGCCAACAACTTGAACCTATTCTTGGTGTCAAGGCAAAGGTAAGCCTTTGGAAGTCGGATAGTCGAACTTTTGATCTTTTGGAGTTTTGTCGGATCGCATTTTCGAATAAAAAGTCGAATATCGCATTTTCCTAGTTTTTGGATACCTTATTATCCCTAGTTTCCCTTAGCTTTGCTTAAATTGCTTAAATCTTGAAAATCGTCTATCAGAACCTATTGACTTGGGGTCTGCAAATGTAGCTGACGATGAGATCTAGTGGGGAATTGATCGTTGTGAGGAATTGAGCCTTGATCTTCTGTGAAAACTTGGAAACTGTAAAACTAGTCATCAACTCAGCTCGGTGGGGTACATTACCATTAGAGAAAATACGGTAAATTCATTTCAGGAAGACGTCGCCACCGCTTTGGTCCGCATCATGCACAAAAAGCGTTTGGCTGCTCAATTTTTGAGCGAAGTCGTGATGGATGAAGTGACTGCATTGGAGAATGAGCACTTGATGTTCAGGGGGAATTCGCTGGCCACAAAGTCGATGGAAGCCTTCATGAAGCTGGTTGCTGAGGACTACTTGAAGGTAAGACTTCAAAGATAAAGCTCTGGCTTTGGAGCTCCATCTTTGAAGCTTCATCTTTGGAGCTGGATCTATGGCTTTTGTTTTTGAAATCTCCAAAGCCAAAAGGTTCCTTGGGCGAAATTCCTTGCTTGTAAATGAATGTTAGCACTATAAGCTACAAACGTAAACTACAAACGCTTCTAAGTTGCTTCAAATCTGCTAGATTGGCATGATCTATAGCTCAAAAAATAGAGAACCTCAAGAGCTTTCGAATGGATCAAAGCACACTCAGAAAAAATAAGGCTAAAGAAAGTTACAGTGGTTTGAGCCTGACTCGATCGCTTTGGCTACGGTCCGTTTCGATTTATGCTCGAACCACTGTAACTTTCTTTATTGTTGCTTTTTCCGAGTGTGCTTTGATCCATTCAAAAGCCCTTGAAATTATCTATTTTTTGAGCTATAGATCATGTAAATCTGGCAGATTTGAAACAAGTTAGAAGCGTTTCTAGTTAGACATTTCATTATTTTTGTAGTTTATAGTGCCGATGTCTACTTGTAAACATGAGTCTCCTTGTAAACATGAGTCTCCTTTCAGAAAACCCTTTCCGACTTCATCCGTCAACTGCTCGACAGTGACGATGACTGTGAGGTGGATCCACTCAAATTGGTCGGCGCTTCGTCCACCCAACTCGATCGTCAACGCGCCAATCTGATGTTGCACGTGGAGACAGCTTGGGGGAAAATTATGAACAGCACGTCGAACTTTCCGCTCGAGTTGCGAGAGGTTTTCCGAGCGTTGAGGGAACGATTGGATCAAAATGGCCGCCGAGATATGGCTGACAATCTCGTTTCGTCGTGCATCTTCTTGAGGTATCTCTGCCCAGCGATTCTCAGCCCGAGTCTCTTTGAATTGGTGAGTTGAACAGCTTTCAGTGAAATTTGATTTAAATTTCTAGGTCACTGAATACCCAACTCCTAAAGCCAGCCGAAACTTGACATTGATCGCGAAAACTCTTCAGAATTTGGCCAATTTCACGAAATTCGGTGGAAAGGAGTCTTACATGGAGTTCATGAATGAGTAAGTAAAACATTTGAAATCAATTTCAAATCATAATCTGATTTCAGATTTGTGGAAAGAGAGTGGGAGCACATGCACGAGTACTTGATGAGAATTTCTCAGCGAGCCGGACAATCCGGCGAGACTGAATATTTTGTTGATGAGGGGAAAGAGTTGAGCTTGTTGACCAGCTATTTGGATGAGGTGAGGCTTTGTTCCATTTTTGAGCCATTCAGCTTCAAATTTGTCATTTATTTGACTAGACTCTAGCCGAAAGTACCGTAGATGGTTATCGGACATTTGATAGGCCTTCGGCTCCTTTGCCATTAGTAATCTAACTTTAAGCTTAAGTATCTTGATGTTGGGCCGTCCAATCTCAACATTCTTGGTATCATTAGATTCGCCGAGTCTTCCTCTATCGATTGGTACAAAAACAATTCAAATTCGACAGCCCAACACCTAGATATTTCAGCTCAAAGTTTGTTTGCCAATGGCAAAGGGGGCGGGGCGCGTATAAAAGGAAGCCCCGCTCCCTTTGCCATTGGCAATCTGACTTTGGCCTCAAAAACCTTGGTGTTCGGCTGTCCAATTTCAATAGTTTTTGTATCAATTGACAGAGAAAGACTTGGCGCATCTAATGATACCAAAAATATTTAAATTGAACAGCTCAACACCAAGATATTTAAGCTCAAAGTTAGATTGCTAATGGCAAAGGAGGCGGGAACCTATCAAATGTTCCACAATCCTATAGATAGCTGCTGAATCAAAAGCTGACCTAATATTCTTCAACTCTTACAGAATACCAAAAATTTGAGCTTGTTTAATCTGTTATATTATACAAGTAATTACCAAAACTTTCTAGGTTTGGACCGACGACATTGACAAAAAGATCTCCGAAAAAGAGCGCCGAGTCGCCGATCTGCGTCACATTCTGAATGACTTGAATGACTGCAAGAGAAGATCCACCGCCACACTCAACAACTCACTCAGCGATTATGATAACAACTCTGTTTTTCGGTATTGAACAATTACAAGAAAAATCTTATAAAGTAAAAATCTTTAGCGGCAGAAATGGGAATCATAATCTCCCGGTTTACTCTCCACCGCACAATGGACAAGCGATGGTTTCAAGACCTCAACCAGCCAAACACTTGAACACTTCTGATGACTACGTTTTGGGAGCAGTTTTCAATGACTCTTTGAATGATTCGTTGGCTGTTCGCCAAGCTGGCCTACTTGTGCAACAAGCGAGAAAGCAGCCAAGGACCGCGCCGAGAACTGAGTCTTACAGGTGAGCAAGAGCTCAACAATGAACAACAGCTCAACAATGAGCAACAATGACAACAATTAAAATCTTAAACCTTTCAAAATCTGGATTACTGTAATAAGGGTAAGTATGTATTCAAACTCAATATGTATTTTTAGAATTGATGATGCTACAACGAGCTCTAGAACCAGCTCCAACACCGCTTCGAGCTCGTTGAGTGAGCCTCGTGAGGACAGTGATAGTGAGCATGAGGTGAGTAAAGTCTGGGTTACTGTAATAGAGAAAAGGTTTAACAAAGAGCTCCTTTTCAAGTCAATGCTCAATGTTCAAACACCCGAATGTAGTAGCTTTAAAACACAAGCACCAATACTATGTACAGTACGTACCAGTGCACATTACGCACCTGTATTATGTACAGTACGTACCAGTACTTTGTATAGTACGTTACGTTAGTACGTGCCAGTACTATGTATAGTACGTATCAGTACTTTGTACAGTACGTTAGTACGTGCCAGTAGTATGTATAGTACGTATCAGTACTATGTGCAGTACACGTACAGGAAGCGCCAATGCCATGTACAGTACGTGCTAGTACGTAATACGCACCAATACTATGTACACTTCGTACCAGTGCACATTACGCATGTACAGTACGTTAGTACGTACCAGTACTTTGTACAATACGCGCCAGTACTATGTACAATAGGTGCCAATACTATGTACATTATGCACCAGTACTATGTGCAGTACGCATCAGTGCTATGTGCAGTACGCATCAGTACTATGTGCAGTACGTGCCAGTACCATGTACAGGACGTGTCAGTACCATGTACAATAACGTCAGCACGTACTAGTACTATGTATAGAACGCATCAGTACTATGTACAGGATGTGCCAGTACTATGTAAAAGTACCTGTCTTTGCACGTTGTTGCGTTAGTTTTGAGCTAAAAATTGATGCTTGCTTGCTGAAGTACTTGACAATATAATTTTAGCATTCACGTCGAAGTCGTCGCGGAAAAGACCTTCGAAACGGACACCTCCATGAGCCTGGAACTTCCACCACTAATCCACTACCAAGCAGTGGCTATCAAAGCAACAATCCTAGCAGGTTGACCAAAATGACTTGAGAAAAAGTATTATCCAATTCAGCTACAATACCTCTTCATCCTCTTCTTCACCCGTTGAGAGAACGACAGCTGCTTTGTTGATCGCGAATCCAGCATTTGCCACACCAAATGCCTCCATTCCAACGGCGAATGTAGCTGGATACAGAAAATCTTCTCCACCAGCTTATGAACAATCCGCATCATACGCTCGATTGGCACCGGTTAGAGATTGAGTGAACTTTAAGTCTAATTGTTGTTTAGATCTACCAGAATGAGCCTGGCGAGCTATCTCCCGGTGCTCACAGCTCGCTCTCTGGGGCTTCATCGAGCTGCAAGAGCTCATTGCCGAGGACTAATCCGAGGACGAACCCATGGCAACACAGAAATCAGGTATTGGAAAGGAAACGGTTCTTCAAAACAGTTATAATGTAGTTAAACAGTAGTCCGATCTCAAATAGGATTGAGATCCGTAGAACTTGAGTAAATCTGGAAGTAAATCTGAAAGTAAATCTCAAAGCTTATTTAACTTACCAGAAACTTTGCCGTTGCTTCACAGCAAATTTTTTGGAGCAAAAAGCAAAAGAATTGGCGGCGAGAGGAGGCAAACTCGTGACTTCTCTTCCTTTCGTTTGAAAGACGCGCGCGTTAGCCACTCGGCCACTCGATGGCGCAGTGCGAGCTCACTTGTTTCTAGCCCACACAATCCGGGTTCGACTCCCGTCCGCGTTGGCACTTTTGATTTTTAAAAATTTAGAAACATGTTGCACAACTACATGAAATTCTAAGCCAAACTAACTATAAATCATTGGAAACGGTAGTCTGGAAGCTGAGGAATGATAGACAGACAGACAGACGTCTTAGACAGACAGACGTCTTAGTTCGTCCCTTTATATATAGTAGATTTATCTGAAAACTTTCAGCCGCTGAGTCCAAGTGCCTTCTCTGTAACTCCCAGAACCAACTCGGTCACTCGTCCACAAGTGATCCCCGACTACGAGGTGCCAAACTCGAACAACAACGAGAAGTGGAATGACGAGTTGGGAGTCTGGCCAAAAGTCTCTCTCGAACAACAGCAAGTAAGTTTAGGAAGCTAATTCGATTCTTAAAATCTCTAAAACAAAGAAGACCTTATACTCATCGAATTTTCCAGTTCCAGGCCAACCTAATCGAAAAGCAGCAACGCGAAATTGAGCGACTGATGCTCGAAAACGAAAAACTTCGCCGACAGATGGCCGATCAGCCGCCAATCAAGGATCCATCACTACAAGTACGTTTTAGCAATCAAATATTCAAATTCTTGATTAACTTAATGGATTTTAAAAGATATAATTTCGAATTTCAAACATTTAAAACCCCTTTAAAACATTTAAAACCTATTTAAAACATTTAAAACCTATTTAAAACATTTAAAACCTATTTAAAACAGTTTTTTCTTTACTCAAATCAAAGTTGAACTATCCCTGAAAAAAGCTCTCTCATTTTAGCGTGGCCTGAGAAAGTTTCCGTTGAAACTAAACTTTTTACGGTAATTTTATTTGCTTTTTCGGCTTGTGAGCACGATTTAGCATTAGGCTTACTGTAGTGAAGCATTTGAATCCGAATTTGAATTATTTGAATGATTTGAATTTGTTTTTTAGTTGATCGACAGTGGCGCCTCCGAGGACTCTTTCTGCTCGAATGGGTCGATGGAGAGAAGACGGCCATCTTTGCAATCCTAAAATTTCAATCAGTTACCATATTTTGAACTTGATGATCAATGGTTTAGTGCAAAATAGACAATGTTTACGGTAGCCTCTTTGTTTGACACTAACTTTACTGTAAGCTAGGTATAGTCTATCTTAAAAGAGAAGATCAACTGGCTGAGCTGGCTAAATGCTATGCGACCTCTACCTATCGACGCAGAATTTTATGCTGATTCGGAATATGTATTCCGTTTTTGCTACATGACAATTTGCCAGGAGTTATAAGCGTCTAAAGTTTTGTTAGGACTTGTGAGGGTTATTGGCCTCCGAGGTTACTGGCCTCCGAGGTTACTGGCCTTCGAGGCCACTGGCCTTCGAGGTTACTGGCCTCCGAGGTTACTAGCCTTCGAGGTTACTGGTCTCCGAGGCAACAGACCTTCGAGGTTACTGGCCTTCGAGGTAACAGACGTTCGAGGTAACAGACGTTCGAGGTTACTGGCCTCCGAGGTTACTGGCCTTCGAGGTTACTGGCCTTCGAGGTTACTGGCCTCCGAGGTTACTAGCCTTCGAGGTTACTGGCCTCCGAGGTAACAGACCTTCGAGGTTACTGGCCTCCGAGGTTACTGGCCTCCGAGGTTACTGGCCTTCGAGGTTACTGGCCTCCGAGGTTACTGGCCTTCGAGGTTACTGGCCTTCCGAGGTTATTGGCCTTCGAGGTTACTGGCTTTGGAGATTATCGATCTCGGCCCTTGGGAACCGACGAGCAGTTGGTGGCCTTACCTTATGGCTTTATATATGGAAAACGATGTGCCAGATGGAACGCGCACAAAGAACACGATCCAGCACTTCTTGAAGTGGATCAGTTTACCGATCAAAAGCCACTCGTTTTCGTGGTACATTTACCATAATATCAAAGGCTTACTGTAGCTTTTACCGTAATCCCGTTTCTGAACAACCTGTAAATTAGAGTTTCTATTTTGCACTGCTTTATCGATCACCAAGTTTACCGCAGTCTACCGTAATGCTAGAGTACTCTTCGTTTCTATAAAGCTTTTAAAAAATTTGCATTCTCGTCATTTCCTTCATTTTACCGTATCCATGAGCCGTTTACCTCGGAGAGAGTGAAATTTTGCATAAATCCACCATATCCCGCTGCCTATTTTTCTCTCTAGCTAAAGTAACCCAATTTACCTCTATGTTAAGCTTATTCTTAAAATAATTTTACTTGAATTCCTCGCTTTTCCCATTTCCCAGCTACTCCATATCAAATTTCGAAAAATTTCACCATTTTTTGGGTAGTTTTGTGTGATAGACCTAGCAAAAAAGACGAATCCGCATTTCCGTTTCTTGATTTTCCTCGATTTTCTTCGATTTTCCTCGATTTTCTTCGATTTTCTTCGATTTTCTATGCAATTTTTGAGCTTATTCCCGAATTTTCTCTGCCTTGTCGAAAGAAAATCATCAGCAATATCCCAAATTTTTATCAAAATTATCTGTAAATATTTGAGGATCTCTTATATTTTTTGGAAAAAAACAATTGACAGTCTTTTTATGACATTCAGCTAAAGCTAAAGCTAACAAAAACGCCTCCCATCTTCTTCTCGCTTTTTTTTTGGTGCAAACGAATTGTTTTATCTTCTCTCGGCTTGACATAATAAAAAGTTATCTTTTATTGAATTGAAATACAGCAAAAGTTGTTTATAACTAACAAACTAACAAAAGAAAATAGCACACAGAAAATTGTAGTCAAAGAATTTACATATTGGGTTGGTGAATTGAAAACTGCGGGACTTTGAACTAAAATTTATTCAACATAAAACTATAAATTCATTCCAAATAATTTCCATTATTATTGACGACTTCTGCCCATTTTACAGGCAATTTGCGGATTCCTCTTTCGTAGTAGGATTTTGGTTTGTGTGTGAGACAAGTGTGAGACTCAAAAATCGAGGACTGGAGATGTCCCAGTTTGAGCATTTGAGCACTTTCTTCAAAAGAAACCCATTTTGGTGTCAATAGAAAAGTTGTAGAGAATCAAAAATTAGACTTATAGCCAAATTTCCAACTCCAGCGTTCGCCTTGACATGTTGTTGAGCGATCCAATCCATCTTTTGTAATTGAGCAGCAAGAGTAGCTATTGCTGCAAGAAATGAGCAACAAGAAACGAGCGAAAACCCGAATAAAGATAGTTATGTAGAAAAAATTCTTGAGGAAAGAAGCACACTTCAAAAGAATGTTTAGAATCGAGCTTAAAGGTGGATTGCATTTGTGGTCAAAAGTAGCTATTGCTGCGTGTTAAAACTGGTGGGTAAAACTTGAGTTATTGTTATTGTTGTTGCTGTTGTTGTTGTTGTTGTTGTTGTTGTTTTTGTTCTTGTTCTTGTTCTTGTTGTTGTTGTTTTTGTTGTTGTTGTTGTTGTTGTTGTTGTTGTTGTTGTTGTTGTTGTTGTTGTTGTTGTTGTTGTTGTTGTTGTTGTTGGTCGTGTTGTTGTTGTTGTTGTTGTTTGTTGTTGTTGTTGTTGTTGTTGTTGTTGTTGTTGTTTTGTTTGTTATTAAAACATTGTTAAAACTTTCATCGACTATGAGTTGCATAAAAATATCGTTTTAAAATCCTGGCCAATCACCAATAAAAACACTTTATTCCACGAAAAAAAACAATAAAAAACATTAATTTCGAATGCACCTTAGAAACCCTACAATTGAAAAGTAATTATAAAACTCTTAAACAAAAATGAGCATAATAAATATTCATCTTAAAAATGAGAGAAAGTTGAACAAAAAAGACGGCGTAAACCCGAGAGATCTCAACGCTTTTGGCGACTCCAAAAAATGTTGTTGAAATGGAAAACTTTGAGCTAAACATAGTAGACTTAGAATTTGTTGACTACAAAATATTTGTTGACTACAAAATTATTAAAAACGAATCGAATAAAACCCAAACAGTGATGAGCAAAAGAAGAAAAAAGTGTTATCGAGCTTTCGAAAGAGAAAATTTCGGGTAAAGGATTGAGTCATTTTTGTACAAATTTAAAAACCCGATTGAAAAGTCAGATTTCATTTTTGAAACTTAAGAAATTGATGCTTTTGATGGCACAAAATGGGATATTTTTTGAAAGAATTTTGATGATTCAAAGGAGGTCTTTGAAACTGTTGCGCATGTCCTCATCGTCGAGGTTGACACTGCTGAAAGAATACAATTTTCGACAATTTAACATTGTTCTATTTGATGATTTTATTTCATTATCTGATTCCAATCATTTATGAGCTTAAAGTGAATCTTTGCTCATTTAGTTTTCATGTAAAAGTTTACTCAATGAGGCAGTATACTGCAGTTGGGATAGCCTAATATGATGTGGGTTTGTAAAGTGACATAAAATTGCAAATTGCACTGAACCTAAGCTTTGTACGTGATCATTTTTGCAGTGCAACTGAAGCTATCTTCAGAGTGATCTTCGTTGTCTCACCCAGCTTGTTAGAATTTAAATGTGTTCAAACGACAAAGCTAGGTATGTTTTATGAATCGAACACTTAATTAGAAAGACGATGAAGGCTTTTATTTAGGCAAGAATTGTAAAAACTAGAAATATAATGTAGTTCAGCCCAATTCAGTCTGGCGGGTAAATTAAGACTACAGGGTGTGCCGTAATTACTCAGAATCACTCTGGAGAGTGTAGCAGGAACCGTGCTCAAGCAACAATGTCGCTTCGCCGAGTCTCCCACGAATGGAGGAATTAGGGCCAGAGAGTAGCAGAAATATTGGTGAGTTTAGAAAATTCCGAACAACATTTTTGCAATGAATTCTTTGTCTCGAAAGCGAACTCACTGTGTCTCATCAATTTGCTCATCTCCTTCGGCTTCCATGAGACTCTCGTACTCCTCAGCACAGTAACGTTCCCATTCGGAGAGCTCGCGACCCTCGTCATTTCGGACCACAGGTCTAGAAATTTTATTGATGAAATAAAAATAAGAGATAATAACACATAAGATTCAAACAATCTTTTCCAACTCACTTCTCTCCCTCATTGATCTCCTGGTTGAAGAACTTGCGCCAATTGGTGAAACTGTTGAAGAACCTGAATATTATGATTCTTATGAAAGCTACCAGATGAATAGCATAATATTTTGATATCTGTTTTTTAAAATCGACCAACCGATAAGCTAGCGGGCACTTTTTCAGATCAGATAGTGCAAATCCGTTGGGGTTTTTCGGTCGAATCATGTCGAGGAGCTGAAAGGAGCTTTTTAAAGCTGTTCAAAAGATGATTACGATAAAAGAGATGCAAAATGTTGATGACTTTACTCACATTGCAAGCAACGTCTCCAAATTGCATTGTGTCGATCTTGTTCGATGTCAATTTGTCACGCACTTGTCCGTACATTTCCTCCATCTCATACAAAGTGACCAGGCCGTCACCGTCGAGGTCGCAGATTCGGAACCAATACTCAACACTGAAATTGGTACTGATTGGTACTGATTGGTACTGATTGAAAGTCAGAAATTCTTTGTCTTTGATTGAAACTCATAAAGTCTGTTTGTACTAGTAAATTGATCTAAATTGATCTATTGATCGGTAGCTTAAATAATCCGCTAACAGTTCTTGTCATTTTGTTCATTGTCATTGTCAGTACACCATTGTCAAAACTGATACACCAATCAATTCGTCGACAATTTCATAAGATCTGATTTTGATCTTCTTCTTTATTTCTTCTTCTGGTTTCAAATAGTTTTCAATTTTGATTTTAGCCAGATGAGAAGAAAGCCCAGAATGACAAACACATTCTACAGTATAATCATCTACTATATATAAAAGAGAAGTGTCTGTCTGTCTGTCTCACTGTACGGGCATTTCCTCCGCGGTGTTTTGACCAATAAAGCTAAAACTTCTTTAGAAAACGTTAGAATATATTGTAGTTGTAGAAAGCCTCATTTAAAATAAAAAATAAAAAAGTTGTGGCAGAGTGGCACTACGAGGGGTCGAACCCAGATCGTGTGAACTGTAGAAAAGCGCGCTCCCGACGGCTCCACGTCATACAAGACGCGCAGCCAGAAAAACCCACCGTTAGTCGGGTTTTTCGACTGGTTTGGCCATAAATTTAACTGTAATCTAACCAAAACCAATCCTGTGAGTTTAGTGATCTAATTTTGAGCTTAATTTCCTTTGTTTTGTTTTTGTTTTGTTTGTTTTGTTTGTTTTGTGTTTTTTTTTTTTTTTTTGTTTATCTCAAACTTATTAAGCTGTACCTTGTCAAGTTTTTCTTATCCTCATCAGCCATGAGAAAAGCGGCGAACTCGGCCAAGCCGATGAACTCGACGATGTGCTCAGTGCGTGAGCCTCTCACCACCGCTTTCGAGAAGATTCGGTTGACGACTAATGGGGTTAGAGCTAAATTTTGGAAATAGATCTTGAAAGAATGGATAGATTTTGGAAATAGATACTATATATTGGGATCCTCAGTTGATCTTATGAATCTTAGGATCTTATGAAATGAGCATCAAATATCATCAAATAGTCTCCAGTTTGCTTTTTTATGGATGATTATTTGAAGTTGTCTAACAGAAATTTGAATGGATGATTATTTGAGGTTCTTTTTCAGAAAATCTTGATCATTTCAAAGCAAAACTGAGAAATAAATTTCTGTTTTCTCTCTAGATCTTCAAATAATTTTAAAACGGCAATAGTCTAATGGATCCAACTAGACTTTTGACTATATGCCTAACTTTTTGTGCTCTTTCTTTTTCCTTTTGACATCAAAATAGGTCAAAATATGAAAGTGTTCAATCGCAACTTCTGCTTAAAAACCGTTTTTGGTTGAATGACTGGCTAAAATCACCAAAACTCAAACGAAAAAAGGCCTCCAAAAAAGTTTTTTATACAAAATTTCTAGGTCTATTCTCTAAAGCAATGTTTTTTTATTTGATTGATGATTTGATATTGATTTTATAAGATAATAAAGGACACAATTACATAGTATTCAACCCAATAATATTAGAAGAGACTATGAGATTAAAACTGATTTGGAAAAACTGAGAATTTGTATTTTCACCTCCTTCGTCGTGTGCTAGCATGTCCCTCTTTGAGATCAACATATCGTGGTCATCGTCGAGCTCCCAGAATTTGCAATAGATCACATAGAAGTGCTCGTATCTAGATTTACATTTATTACCTAAATTTACGGGATCTAGTCAAAATAGCGCCGCCAAAACAGCGCCGTTCAAAGCAGCGCCATTCAAAACAACGCCCTTCAAACAAGCGCCATTCAAAACCGCGTCGTTCAAGGCAGCGCCATTCAAAACCGCGTCGTTCAAAACAGCGCCATTCAAAACCGCCTGGTTCTAACCAGCGCCCATACAAAAACTCTAATGATGAAAGAATCGGTCGGTTTGTCAAAACACGCGCAAGGTGTTTAAAAATGTTTTAAAAATAACAAAAGTTACATATTCTTATGAGAAGTATAAAAACATTGGGGTTGTAAAAGCAGTCTCTTTCAATTTGGCGCTATTTTTGTATGGGCGCTGTTTTGGCTCCGCTATTTTGACTAGGCACTTTCAATTTGGCGCTATTTTTGTATGGGCGCTGTTCTGAATGGCGCTGTTTTAAACGGCGCTGTTTTGGCGGCGCTATTTTGACTAGGTCCCAAATTTACATATTTTTACAAATTTCGATTTAGATTTATTGTAGCTAGATCTTTTTAAAGCGTTGTTTTTGTTGATTTTTCCCCTTTCTTTACCCAGAAGTCCACAGACAACAAAGCAAGGAACTAATCAAGAAGCTAAATCTTGACTCAAAATAGGATTCTCCGAATTGAATCAATTTAGGATTCAATTTAGTTTTCTGAAAAAGACTCACGAAAAATATCTCGTCTCTTTGTTGATGTCGTCCTCTTTCTCGAGGAAATGAAGTTGCGCGAGAAAATCGGAACGCCGCAACTCTTGAGCCGTGATTCGGCCACTCCACGAGCGATTCACATTCCAGAAAATCCGTGTTATCACCTAGGAATGCAGTTATTAAATAAGAGTAAACAAGGAAGTTGAGCTTAATAAGGTAAAATATTACTGAAAAATAGACTGATTTTAGATCGGACGTCCGATCTGGAATCAGTCTAGATTGTCTAGTGAAATCAGTCTAGATTGTCTAGAGTGAAGTGATGCCAAAAAATAGATCTAGAATCAGGCCAATCACTCTAAATCTAAGTCAGGATTGGACGTTTGATTTAGAGTGATCGGATCGGACTAAATCTAACTCTGAATCGGATTTAGAGTGATCGGCTTGATTCTAGAGCGGACTTTTGACCTAACTTCAATCTAGATCGGACGTAACTATTAAAATTTCACGAGACTTTTCAGCAAAACATTGCAAATATTTATGTTTATGACAGCTCAACTTACCACATCAACATAGGAGGGATGAAATTCGGTGGCTGAGTGGTAAAAGGTGAGCCCAGGATGGGTGAAAATGATGTCATAGCAGAGTGACTGGAAATCTTCTCGCTCCAGGTAATCCCTCTTTCCACCACTCAATGCGTAAACGAATCTGAAGAATTTTTGATTTACATGAACAATAATCGTTATTAGTATTGTGCTAATAACATTTTAAGTCTTAAACTTCTCAGAAAACTGACCTAGCCGCTTCATCATTTGCAACTGAAGTCATGTTTCGCCACCAGACACAGAACTCGGTTTGTGTGATGTCAACGTTCTAAAACATTACCTTTCAAAAGGTTTTATTTAGCTTATAGATGATTATAGATTATAGACTTAATCATAGATTACTTTATTCAGCAAGTTCTACTAAAACTTCAACTAAATTTACCTTCTTGTTGGTGATCGAGTCGTAGATAGCTCTCTTCCAGTAAAGTGGGATGCCGGCAGCTTTGATTACCTGAAAATTGATTACCTGAAGTTATAAAGCTTAGCTAGTTACAGTACCTCTTCAAACTCATTAACAGAAGCTTTTTGTCCAGGCAATCGACGGAAAACATCCAAAGCTTTCCTCATGGCGACATCGTTTTCGTGTTGTGACACGGGTTTTCCTTGTGGGAAATAGAATTTCGGGACCGGGGCTCGAACGGGAGCCAATGGCTGTCTTCGGAGGCCTCGCGGGGTGAGAACTTTTGAGTCAGCTGGCTGAAATTTTGTTGTTAAAATGACCACTAATGGGGACAAATTTGATTCTACAGAGTGACCGCAAATTATGCGACACCTTTTTTGGAAACACCTGGCTGGCAAACACCTAACTCATAACCAAAGTGTCAAGTGTTGTATAGAGAATTGAAGCCCTGAATCTTGGTTACATTTATCTACTAAATGCTTTAAGATTGGAGTTATACAACTTATTTTACAAGCTCTTGAATAAGCTCAAGTCGACTTCTGCCAAGGCGATCTGCCATTTTTGACACTTTTCTTAATGAAAAATTGTTAAAATGTTTCCTCGATTGTGAGAAAATAACATTTAATATCATTTAATACCATTTAATAACAATAAAAATAACAGAAAGCTCTTTTGTCAAACTTTTATAGCAAAAATTTGGACTGATTTCTCGGTTTTGGGTTCTTTCTGGGTTCAAAAAGGGGAAATTGAGCCTTTTCGAATATCCATTTTACAAGAAGATCTTGCTCTCAGTGTTATATTTTTGCTGAATAGTACTTTTAAAACAAAATACTACAAGTTTGATTGAAAGAATCTCTTTCTAGATGAAAATATTGTGATTCAAAAAGTGTCAAGAATGACAAATTACCGGTAAGAGGCCGACTTGAGCTCATTCAAGAGCTTGTAAAATGAGTTTTATAGCTCCAATCTTAAAGCATTTTGTAGATAAATGTAGCCAAGATTCAGGGCTTCAATTCTCTATATAACACTTGGCATTTTACTAATTAGTCAGGCGTTTGTCAGCAACTTTTCCAAAAAAGGTGTCACTATGATTCTGTATTGAGTCTCAGAAAGCTCAAGAATTATAGAATTTGCATAAGATCAAAGTTCAGTGGCTTCTGGGTTCGCTAAACAAGAATTAGCACAAGAATTTGCGCCTTTTGTATCGTATTTAGATTCAAATTACAGCCGAAAACAAGAAAATGATCGAGTGAAGAGGGGTAAAACGCACAGGCTTATGAATAGCATAGTGAAAGCAATATCTCAAGCTCTTTAACAGCTTAGAAAATGCAGAAAATCTTTTCGAAAACTTATCCAGGAAAAGAGAAAATCAATCACTCAAAGAAAAACCTCATAAATCGAGCTGCTCATCGAGTCAATCGGCGGCTTTCCATTGATCGGCGGTTGGTTCGTAAAACTTGGTTCATTCTAAACAAAAACATAATGATTAAAAGGAAAAAGACTTAATTATCGATTAATTATCGATTAATTATCGATTAATTATCGATTAATTATCGATTAATTATCTAAATTCTCTCAGTATTAAACTCTATAAATTCAATATGATTCTATATGATTCTATATGATTCAATATGATTAAATAAAAGACAAATAAAACCCACTCTCGGCTTATTGATGGCTTGAACATTCGTCTTTTGCTGGGTCGAAATCGCTGGAGCATTTGGTGAGACACTATAACATTTTTTTATTAGAAATCTTCAAGTTTTACATTTTTAATTTCGATTCTTTTCGTCATTCAGGATTTTGATGGTTTTTTTTGAGCTAAACCGCTGAGAAGAGGCAATTAAAATGTTTATGATGTAGCTAAACATACATTTTTTTTGCTCTAACTAGAGTCTTTCAAACAAAGATTGCAAAGTAAAAGAGCTAAAATATTGAAATATTATTTTTATACTTACAGGTGAGTATAAAAAAATAAATAGCACTTTTCTCTAGTCAAATTTGATGAGGATTCTTTTAAAATCAACCACAAGTCGATCCAATGCCTGTACCTCGAGTTATTAACCGCTTTCTATTTTACTCTTTATCTCCACTTCCAGGGAACGGATCGACTTGTGGTTGGTCTTGAAAGAATTTTCATCAAAATTGGCTTAAGAAAAGTAGAATTTATTTAGTACACTCACCTCTAAGAAGATAGAGAAAAATTGCGTCAAAGTTGATCGACTTCTACAGGTAAGTCGGTCAACTTTGACGCAATTTTTCCCTATGTTCTTATACATGAGTATACCAAACAAATTCTACTTTTTTTAGTCAAATTTGATGAGGATTCTTTTAAAATCAACCACAAGTCGATTCAATGCATGTACCTCGAGTTATAAACCGTCAAAGTTGATCGACTTCTACAGGTAAGTCGGCCAACTTTGACGCAATTTTTCCCTATGTTCTTACAGGTTGTACAAAACAAATTTAACTTTTCTTAAGCGCAATTTGATGAGGATTCTTTTTGAATCTTTATAGCCTTATTTATAAGGTTTTTACCTCTTTTGTCCAGCATGGTTGAACTGCAGTCGACTGGGAACATTTCTGAAATTCATCGTTGTTTGTTCATCAATTGTTTATCATTGTTCATTGTTCATCAAGTAACAAATCAATTTCTTTCTCTTTTAGTCAACTCTTTTAGCTTCCAATCTTTCTTGTTCTTGTTTTCTTGTTCCTTAAAAAGCTACATTTATTATCGAATTTCAGAGAATAGTTTCTCCATTATCTCCAAAATTGACTAGTGAATCAAAGCCCAAATTAAGGCTACCATTTGGCTAATAATCCTAGAAACTTCATCAAAAAAACCTCAGTTCAAAGACCAAATTCATTTTGAAAATGATTTTTATCATTTACTTTCAATTATAGGGTATAATGGAATTGATGGATGCTGTGGGGGTATAATGGAATTGATGCTGTGGGAGTATAATGGAATTGATGCTGTGGGAGTATAATGGAATTGATGCTGTGGGAGTATAATGGGAAAGTACTCCAATAAATGTTCGATGTAGCTTCACTTTAAGAATCTACGTAAAATTTCCTTTAAAACAAGCCATTGTACAGCTATTTTGGTTTAGAGGTAAATTTTTTATAGCCATTTTAAGGTAGGACCTGAACTTTTTAAATTTGGACCCCCATAAAAAATTTTCTACCAAACCAAACGAGCTGAAACTTGTTTTACAATATAAAATTCATATATTTTGCACATTTTTTATTTTGGCATCAAGTCAGTTGTCTTTCAAAAACCCCTTAGATCAGATTCGGACGCCTATTCGAATTCAGTCGCATTTCCGAAATCGGACGTCACATAGATAACGATTCTAAGCAACTGATCCCTAAACCCTCTTCTATTCGTAAATAAAAATACGAGAGTCTGGTCTTTTTGGGGATCGTTGAAAGGTCTTTTAGTTAGTCAAAAGCGGCAAAGAACTCAAAGCCACTAAAGGCACAAAAGAGCTCAAAAGAGGACTCACCCAGCCGGGCTGTTTGTTGACGTCGTCTGGATGGGCTGTGGTGCCGGCACTGACTGCTAAAAATTTCAAATGTTTTCTATTTTCGGGATTCTTTTCAACGCTTGAGGGATTCGATTTCAAAATGCTTTTCACCGCTCAAATTTTTGGTGTTTATCGAGAGTTAGTGAAGTGGTGCAGAGATCTTGGAGTTCGAAAGCTTTTTGAGAATAGCAATAAGCTTCTTTTACAATGACATAAGCCTCTTTTACAATGGTAATAAGCTTCTTTTACAATGGCTTTTGGCTGATTCATTAGAATTAGGTAAAAGGCTTAAACAAAACTAATATAAAGTGCAAAGTTTTGACAACTTTTGTACACTTTTGCACACTTCAACTTCAACAATCAAACTCACATCATCATTTAAAATCTTAGCCGACTTTCGTTTATCGGCCGAGACGACGCGTTGCATAAAAGATTGGAGAAATTTGCCGAAAGATTTCGGTTGTTTACGATGATTTCGTGATCGAATTCCTCGAGATGGGTTTATCGGCTCGCCATCTTGATCAACTACGGTAGCAACACAGACTTTTCGAGCACCAAGAATCGACGTGCAATCCATGGAAACGGCATCGGGTGGCGGATGGAGAACGGCCGGACGAGCCGGACCCGCCAGTGCAATCATCACCACAATGCCTAATTTTGGAAATGAGTGAGAACAATGAGACGTCCTCTGAGGGAGAACAATGAGAGGACAATTCTCGAATTCAAGAAGTAAATAGGTAACTTGATGATGTAACAATGAGAGGATGGTTAAAAAAGCAAAAATGTGAAGCCAAAAAAAGAGATGATGAAAAGAGAAAGTTGAATTGAAAACTTTAAAACTGATTTGAAACTACAGAAACTTTCAAACAGATAATTTACGCTTTTCAGACTCTAGATCTTGTTATTTCTATTTTGGCCCAAAGTTTCTCACCAATCGGTAATAAAGTTTAGAAAGAAATACGAGAAGAGAAGATCCTAAAGCTATTCAAAACATTAAAACAAAAAAAAACGCAAACAGTTTATCCAAGGAGGAGTCGAACTTGAGTGCTAAAAAAGGGAAATGGCGACACTACCACTGCACCACGGATTCACTAATTTTCCTTGATGATGGCGGCCATTTTATCCTCGTTTAGTGCATTAGGGAGTCAAATTTCTTTTGCGTTTTTACAAAAATCTAGAGTGTTTAAGCAAAAACTAAAAACGTCATCGTGTTGCCCGGGCTTGACTAGAGAAATCCATATTGGTTTGGAATCGATTGGAATGGATTGGATTGGATTGGATTGGAATTGATTGGAATGGATTGGATTGGATTGGATTGGAATGGATTGGATTGGAATGGATTGGAATGGATTGGATTGAATAGGATTGGATCGGAATGGATTGGAATGGATTGGATTGGAATGGATTGGAATTGATTGGAATGGATTGGATTGGATTGGAATGGATTGGATTGGATTGGAATGGATTGGATTGGAATGGATCGGAATGGATTGGAATGGATTGGATTGGAATGGATTGGAATGGATTGGATTGAATAGGATTGGAATGGAGTGGATTGAAATTGATTGGATCGGAGTGGATTGGATTGGAATTGGTTTATCGGATTGGCGATGATGAAATTTGACCGTTCCCTAGTTAGGCCATTAAAATACAATTCTGAACACAAGAGCTGGACTTTTCAACTTTGAAAATCGTAATTTACAAGACAGTACAAAATTTCTTTGGTATACAGAGCTTGCGATATTGATTTAAAGAGTTCAATGATGTCTTCAAGGGCTTTGACTTTGTTTTGATTTCGAAAAAGTCTCAGAATCTTGATGATTTTTCAAAAAGTGTCCGGAACTGGAGGAAAATGATTGAAATACTCGAAATGAGGAGTGAATATTTGAGGGTTTAAAAAAGGCAAGTGATCATTGAAAATTCATCACTCCCCCACCATCATCGAGCAATGAGGAAGTGTGAAAAAGAGAAAAGAGAAGAAAATGATGAGCAAGAGAGAGAGTTTTTCTGAAAACTCGATAAGAAATGTAGCTTTTCCGAGGAGCAGGAATGAGAATTGGGAATTAGAAGAAAAAAGTTGCCATTAGTTATTGGAGGGGGTTTAGAGAAGGGTTTAGCTTTAGATTTGACTTGTATTTCTAGATTTAACTTTAGATTTGACTTGTATTTCTTGAAATGGATTTGTTGGAGTGAAAGGCGAAGTTAGTAAACTTTAAAAACATTAGGATTGCGTAAAAAGTTTGACTAATCTTCGCATTACTTTCAAAAATGAGAAGAGTGAATCGGATTAGCTTAAAAAAATCGAAAAAGCCTTGGAATCTGACTCTAGTTCAGATTCTTTGCTTACTGATTGATTGTTTGATTAACAATTTGATCAAATTCATACATTTGTTGAACAGAATCAGAACCTTTTTGAATTCTTAGATTCTTGGATCATAATTTTTAAAGAAAAAAAGCTTGCTGGAATGGTTAAAAGCTACAAATCCTTGTCCAACTCAAAATTTTAGGAAACTGCCCTTTCACATAATCAAAACCTTTTTTAAACACTTAGATTAGAAACAGCTAAGCTATAGATCAAGCTTCTTGATAAGAATAGAAAAATGGAGTCAAAGCTTGAGTCGTGAAAATCAACTTTTCAAACCCAAGAAAATAAAAAACTCGCAAAAATCCTTGCCAACTAAATTTCAATCTCAGAGATGAGGATTTTCCCCTTCAATCTCAGAGCTGCGGATTCTCCAAAATCCATTCACCAAATCAGGAAGTCAAGAAGTTTATAGAATGGCGAAGATCAGGAGTAATCTCAACGAAAAACAGGCATCCTCGATTTGCATTCGTAAAGAGATTCTCAAGGGGGGAAAGGAGAAGTAATGCTTTGAAAATGGAAAAGGCCAAAAAGAAGGGAAAAGAAGAAAAAGTGGGTGTTCACTTGACAAAATCGGCTCTAGCTTTCCCCGGAAGAGAGGCGAGAAAAAGCGAAAGAAGTGCGCGACTAAAAATCCCTTTTTAGCGATATCAATCCCACTACTGACTGCACTATTTGGCTATGTAATGTAAATGAAAAAATGAAATTTACTGCGAATTGCACTAGAAAGAGTAAGCGTCGTTTACGAGCATAACGCACACTAGAAATGTTAAGAACGCATTTGACTTGAGGACTTTGAAATGATTTGCTCGGTGACTTTGGCAGTGAAAATCTAGTGAAAGGTCTGGCTAGGCACAGTCGCTATTCAAAGTTACACGATTTTGATTGAAAATCCTTACCCTTACAGTCACTCTTACAGTCTTACAGACTCCGACGTTATGTTCGGATCGGATTCCGACACTAGGTTCTGTAATCCGAGACAAGACTTAAAAGTCACGAAATCTTCGTAAAGGATTTTCATATGCGTTTTTTTCGGGGGGATAGTTTACTCAGCTTTCTAGTGTTATGGTGAGCGCTTTCGTCTCTAAAACTGGCTCTACCTGGTGGGTTCGATTCCGGCTTTGGGTTTTGCTCTAATAGTACACCAATTTCCCTATGAAAGTCCAGCAGGTAGGAGAAAGTTAAGAACACATTTGAATTAAAGCCTTTTTTTGAAACTTGAAGCCTTTCTTTTAAATGAAATTTCAAAATTAAAGCTAAAAGCTTGGAAGATGGAAAGAATCAAAACTGGTAAAGCAAAAGGTCTAGTTTAGCTCTTAAACTGGGATCTAGAAATGAGGAATCTAGAATCAAGAAATTAGGAATCGAAAAGTTCATGATCATCAACATCCAAACTTTAAACTTTCAAAATAACCTTATTTTGAAGATTTTGAAGGGTTTTGAAGGCAATATTCAAAAATCACAAGCATTTCCGGTGGGGGTGGACTGGGAGGGAGAATTGGGGGTGTTTATTTGGTTTACGAGCTCTCTGTTCGCTTGAATGATGTGATTTAAATTGCAGAAAAAAAACGGCGGTAAAAGGGACAAACATTTCAAGGGGGACAAAGCATTTTTTTTGATTTCATAGATATGTTTTCAATAATGCCATTTATTGGCGTTCAAAAACAAATCACAAAAGGGTAAAGCGTATGTCAATTTTCGCTTTGCTAAAGTACTATTTTTTGGATGAAAATTGGGTAATATTGGTTATGGCACTAAAATCTGCCATTATCAATTGGTTGAAACCAAAATCATAGTGAAAAACTACTCCAGAGTACTCCGTTTTGACCACTACTCCTTTCCCCTCAGCCAAGCGGATCCCTTTGTTTGGGTGGAAAACAAATTAGGCAAAGCACTTGTATTTTTTCGCGGGAAATGTGTGTACGAGGAGGATTAGCCAAAGAACTGGACAATGGAAAATGAGTGTAAAGGATTGGACAATAATGTAAACAGTTTTTGGTCAAAAAATTCCGATTAAAATCCAGTATATCACCGATTGAGTGAATAGGAATTTCACGACTTAGCCAGTTCTTTCTAGATAAATATTAAACTATATTATGGAAAAAACTATAGATAGGTAGAGAAACTAGGGATTAAATTATCACTAAAAAAGGTCGATATTAAACTATGGCAGTAATAGAGGAAGGAATGGGAAAGAAAGATTTCCGGAAAGGGAATTGAACTCTTAACTTCTTTGCTTTCCGGTCAAACCACTGAGCTATCCGGTACCTTAACTATGGGGATACCAGGTATCAGGATAGGAGGTATGGGGATACCAGGTATCAGGATAGGAGGTATGGGGATACCAGGTATCAGGATAGGAGGTATGGGGATTCCTCGGAGGTATCCCTATACCTAAAAATGCACTAATTTAACACATAATCTGGTATGGGGACCTCTGAGGTATGGGGATGCCTCGATTTCGGAGTTGTTGTGCAATTTAATCGGTATGTGCAATCAGAAAACAACACTTGAGGAAGAGAAATAGGGAAAGACAAGGGGGGAAGAAAGGAAGAAAGGAAGAAAGAAAGAAAGAAAGAGAGGAAGAAAGAAAGAAAGAAAGGAAGAAGAATATGAGCTATCCGGTATCTTCTTCTCAGAGAAGAAAGAGGAAATACAAAGGAAAAGAGAAAG